GGGGGGGGGGGGGGGGGGGGGGGGGGGGAGTAATTCAAGACTTGGTTTGGTTGTAGAAAAATGGTTTGCATCGGTCTTTGGAGTCTTTGTTTCAAGAACTATGTAAATTTTCGTTGTCTTTGGATCTGATGTCAGATACTTAGTATTGAAGTTGTATGGTATAATGTTGCTGTTTTATCTATTGTCATTCTTTCTTGCCAGAATTAAAAAAACTTGACAGCTCTACCACATTGAGAATCATACCAGTAGAATACGTTTAATATAATGGTGGCAATGAGTTCAACAAGGTCAGTAAACTAGTCTCTCTCTCTCTCTACTAAATCCATTATGAATAGGTTCCGACAAACTAAAATCAAATCGATTTTACCTTGGTATATACCAAATGAAAAATAATCTAATTATCTTGCCATTCATACAATATAATAATGGGAAAAATAAAGAAATTTAGGCATTTTATTTTATATTATATTAATTAAATGTGTTTGTTTTGTCAAAATTGATTGTTTGACATCAATTAGACCCAATTATTAATCAAACGTATTACAAAATCAGATAATATTGACATGTGAGATGTGTCGGAATCAGACTGTGCCTAGTCTGAAAGTTGAAACCTTACGGCCCATTAAATGAACGGCCATATTTCAAAGCCCACTACTTTCTATAAAATTTGCAGTCCATGAAGTCTATTAGCCCATAAATGTGCTGCGCTAAGAACTCCAGCCCAGCTCAATCCAGAAAAATGTTCGTGACGTGGCAGTGGACAATTGGATGAACGATCCCAACCGTCGGATTGATCGTGCCATACTATCGCGCTCACAAGAATCGCTCTCAAAGCCAGTGGGACCATCCTAATTTCACATAGAAAAGAAAACAAGTCTGGCTTGAGTAACAATTAGGCAACTGTCCTCGCCGAGGATATTTTCGTAATTTGACATTGACCTCGCGACGACATCAAATCGCCAATGTGGTAGATGCACCGTTAAAATCACGTCATCTAGGCAAACGATTGCGAACCGTTAGCCCTAATTTTACCGGATAGCCCTTCATATTCCTTCATATTGTGTCCCCTGCGGTTGTTACGTCCTCTTTGCTTTATTCCAGCACAATCCCAAACCGTACACCCACTCCTTCGAACGTGGTCTCCCCCCCCCCCGGGGGAAAAAAAAATCTCTCTCTCTCTCTCTCTCTCTCACTTCGGCGAACTTCTCGCTTCTGTAGATACTTCTACGCATATTTTGATTTCTGGAAGCAGATCTGGATCGAGAAGAGCAACAAGGGGCAAATATTTCTCCGGAGTCTGTGGCGCCACCAATGGCGGAGTCGCCGGGGAAGAATAGTCAAGCGAGATCTTCTACGAGCTCCGGCGACGTATCGGTCAAATTTGAAAAGGCAGAAAGTAGCAGTAGTGGTGGTGGTGATGTCGATAGTAAGGACTCTGTTCGTGGCGGTCAAATGTCCAATGGTGGCAGTAGCTCTTCAGGTTTGTCTGATTCCCCTAAGGTTTCGGGTTTCTATATAAATTCTGTTTTGTGTGACGAGAAAATAGCAAGAAAAGAAAAGATAGGAGTGTTTAATATTAGAAGCTACCACAACCGAAAAGAAAGTAGAATCTAACCAACAATTGTCAAGGATTCGATTATGACTGACGTGCAGAGACTAATGGAAGGAATTTTCCTATAGTGAATAAATTGCCATCGGAGATTATGATTTCTAGCAAAGTAGAGCTACCTTCAAGTCAGATTAAGTTGGAAAGAGCAAAAAGTGAGGCACATAGACCTCATAACATACTTGCTGAAGAAGCAGCACAAATATTTAATGACAGAATTTCCGTCCAGCAGAAGGTAAAATTCATCACCGTTTAGCATTTTTTTGATTCCCATTCCTTTCTTGCTAGTCTCCAGCTTGCGCCCGGTATGTTTGCTTCACATGAATAAAATATACAGTAGGATAGTATTGGCATATCTTTTCATACTCGGTATATTTGCTTCTTTATTTTGGAGGGCATCCTAGGATGAAAGTTTGAGGGATTTCTCGATTAATTTGGTTATGGACTGCGTAGGAAGGTTCTTTTTTGGTTCGCTGCTAGGATTGTACTTTTAAAAACCCATCCCTCAATGAAATCTGGTGGATCAATCAAAATAGGTCCATCTGCTTTTGGGAGGGTGATGGGATGGCTGATATAGGATAGTATTGGCATATATTTTCATACTCTGGTATATTTGCTTTTTTATGTTGGAGGGTATTCTAGGATGAAAGTTTGATTGTTGATTTCTTGATTCATTTGGTTATGGACAGCTTAGGGAGGTTCTTTTTGGTTTGCTGCTAAGGTTGTACTTTTCATGGCCCATCCCTCAATGATATCTGGTGGATCAGTCAAAACAGGTCCGTCTGCTTTTGGGAGGTGATGGGATGGCTTATAGGATAGTATTGGCATATCTTTTCATACTCGGTATATTTGCATCTTTATTTTGGAGGGTATCCTAGGATGAAACTTTGATGATTGATTTCTCGATTAATTTGGTTATGGACTGCTTAGGGAGGTTCTTTTTGGTTCGTTGGTAAGGTTGTACTTTTAATGGCCCATCCCTCAATGATATCTGGTCGATCAGTCAAAACAGGTCCGTCTGCTTTTGGGAGGGTGATGGGATGGCTGATATATTCAATAGGATAGTATTGGCATATCTTTTCATACTCGTTATATTTGCATCTTTATTTGGAGGGTATCCTAGGATGAAAGTTTGATGGTTGATTTCTCGATTAATTTAGTTATGGACCACTTAGGGAGGTGCTAGGGTTGTACTTTTAATGGCCCATCCCTCAATGATATCTGGTGGATCAGTCAAAACAGGTCGTCTGCTTTTGGGAGGGTGATGGGATGGTTGATGACTTTCTGATCCAGTGTAATTAGCTTGAAGGGTTGTACTTGCCTTTTAACATTCATCACCGTATATTCAATTTGATTTCCCTTTCCTTTCTTGCTAGCCTTCAGCTTGCATTCATCACTCCGTTGCGAGAATGATAACTTTTTCTTCATGTGATTAAAGTATAATGGACAGGATAATTTTGGTATATCTTTTCTTTATCAGTATATTTGCTTCTTTGTTTTGGATGGCATCCTAGGATGAAAACTGAAAGGTTGATGGTGGATTTCTTGATGAATTTGGGGATGGACAACATAAGGTGGTCTTTTGGTTCGCTGTAAAAATTGTTCTTTTTAATGACCATTTTAGGGAGGTCTGCCCATTTTAGGGACGGCGATGGGATGGAACTTTCTGATCCAGTATAATATGCTAGGAGGAGTGTACATACCTATTAACATGCATTGAATTTGGTTCAATTAAAGCATTGTCGGTTTTTAGGATTGGTATCTGATTTACATTGATGTTACTGTCTGGAAAGCATCTATACGTGTGCATATTTTTCTTTCACTGGCCAAAATTATAGTTTGTTAACTTTTTTGAATTAGTAACCTTACCAGATTATGCTTACATTTTTGTGATTCCTTTTGAACACTTGAAACTATGCAGCTAAACTTATTGAACAGAATAGCTACTGTGAAAGATGATGGAACAGTAGAATTTGAAGTTCCAGGGGATGTTGAAGGTGCTTTTGGGGTTGGATCTGAAAATGTATATACTGGAGTTGACGAGGAACCTCTTGATGTGACAGAACCTAAATATATTCCACCACTGCAAATAGTAATGCTTATTGTTGGAACACGTGGCGATGTGCAGCCATTTGTTGCAATCGGAAAACGTTTGCAGGTATTGTGACTTTCTTTATCTTTTTCCTTTTTTCTTACAGAAAGATTTGAAGATACGTATGTGAATAACAGTTTTTTTCTTCTTGTCCTTAACCGTGAGTGTCATTTGGGCATTTCTTTTTTATTTTCAACTGGTAATCCAATTACACACCGTCATGGCACAAGTATGCTTCACAATGATGATAGGAGATAACTATGTGGACTCGTATCTATTAAATAACTTGATTTTTTGGGATTGTCTTTCTATATGTGTTGGAGCTCTACTTGCTTGTCTGAATAATTTTATTAAATCCTTGACTTTTAAATGCTGATATAAAATATTGAAATTTGTTCTTAACATTGTTAATGCTATATTACATTAATTTATTTGGGTATACTCCTAATTAGTGCTTTATATCTATTCCAGACATACTATCCAACAAGGATCAAAATTTCGTTTCGGAGTATTGTTTCGATCACCTAGGAAACGGAAACGTTTCGATGAGTTTCGGAAAAGTTTCGACCCGTTTCAAAAGTATAATGAAAAAAAAAAAATTTAAAAATTATTTTTCTAAAATATGGATTTAAATATATCAAAATACCTTGAAACATTTTGAAACAATTGTGCAAATGCATTGAAATATTATAATACATCTCGAAACATTATAAAATACCTCGAAATATTAGAATTTCGATTCTATCGCTGATTCGTTTCGGCCTCCTTGGAAACGGAAACATTTAGGACTTTTCGACCGTTTCGAAACGATATTCTGATCCTTGCCACCCAAATATCTTATAATGTGACAACCACTTTTTAGCAGAATTATANCATGGATTTAAATATATCAAAATACCTTGAAACATTTTGAAATAATTGTGCAAATGCATTGAAATATTATAATACATCTCGAAATATTATAAAATACCTCGAAATATTAGAATTTCGATTCTATCGCTGATTCGTTTCGGCCTCCTTGGAAATGGAAACATTTAGGACTTTTCGACCGTTTCGAAACGATATTTTGATCCTTGCCACCCAAATATCTTATAATGTGACAACCACTTTTTAGCAGAATTATATGATGTATTTGAATTTGCATGTAACTTGCCATTTATCATCATGTATTCGTTTCCTTGTTTGGTGATGTCTTTTTTTTTTTTTGGAAGCAAGGATCAAAATTTCGTTTCGAAGTACCGTTTCGGTCAACTCAAAAATAGAAACATTTCGGAAACATTTCGAAAACGCAATGGAAACGCATAGAAACACAAATGCAATCCATTAATTNGAAGTAATTATTCCTTATTGTTGTCTTTTTTTTTTTTTCTTGCTACTCATTTATTGTTTGGGTAATTGCTGATAATTTTAGCGAGGTAGGCCGCAGATTAGTATGCTTGCACAGCTATCCAAGAGATATTTGATTCTTCCTTCAAAAGTAAAATTCATTTCTCGATTGGAACTAACTATGTATATCCATCACACTCTAATGGATTAACTCTACCTTTGAAGCTGGTAATTTGGAAGTCAAATTTCAGTATTTTTATGGGCCAAATAGTGCTTTTGTGCTCATCTACATAGAACTGTGATTATGGTTTTGGATATTAATCTTCCTTGGGGAAAAATGAAGATTGACCAAAAATTTATGTGAAACTTCGCTATTTGGTACATTAAGTTCATGAAAACTTAGAAAGACAAGATTAATTCAGCATTGTCCGGAGGAATGGGGGTTGGTAGTCATCTTCTTAAGGTTGCCTGTCATTGTTTGATGCGGTCTACTGTATATGGAAGGTAGGGGATAGGATGAATTTTGTCGGTTTTGAGATTCCTACTTGCGGAATGCTGTGCTTCAGTGCTTGATGTTTCTTGTAGTCTATTAGTTATGTTCTTTTTCTTTAGAAACTTAGGTGAACTAATATATTAGCTTATGTTACACAGTTCGAGTGGTTGTAGTTTGTCTGCTTCACATTTTACATGGCCCGTGTTTGACACCTGTAGTTGATTATCTTGCTTATCCATAAATGCACCTTGTAAAATGATGATGTCCATTATTCAAAAAATTGTTAAATGCAAGTATGTAACTGGACTGCTTTGCCACTTGCCAATCACAATCTTTGCTTTGTCAATTCCTTGGCTTCAAGTCTTCATTATGCCAGTGATGATGCTTTAAGCCTTTTTTTAGACTTTATATTTTTGTGATCCTGAAGAATCTAGTGGGAAAATTATTCCTTTGAAAATGCTTAATGAAGAAAATCTGAGTCGAAATAAAATCTGAGTCTTAATGAAGTAACTGAGAAGCTTTTTGATGTATTCATTCCTGAAGTAACTGAAAATCTGAGTCTTAAATGCAAGTATGTAACTGGACTGCTTTGCCACTTGCCAATCACAATCTTTGCTTTGTCAATTCCTTGGCTTCAAGTCTTCATTATGCCAGTGATGATGCTTTAAGCCTTTTTTTAGACTTTATATTTTTGTGATCCTGAAGAATCTAGTGGGAAAATTATTCCTTTGAAAATGCTTAATGAAGAAAATCTGAGTCGAAATAAAATCTGAGTCTTAATGAAGTAACTGAGAAGCTTTTTGATGTATTCATTCCTGAAGTAACTGAAAATCTGAGTCTTAAATGCAAGTATGTAACTGGACTGCTTTGCCACTTGCCAATCACAATCTTTGCTTTGTCAATTCCTTGGCTTCAAGTCTTCATTATGCCAGTGATGATGCTTTAAGCCTTTTTTTAGACTTTATATTTTTGTGATCCTGAAGAATCTAGTGGGAAAATTATTCCTTTGAAAATGCTTAATGAAGAAAATCTGAGTCGAAATAAAATCTGAGTCTTAATGAAGTAACTGAGAAGCTTTTTGATGTATTCATTCCTGATGTTGTCCAGGCATCTGGTTTTGCTGTTATTTGTCTTGTTAATTTCTAGACTAGGATTGCTCAAAATGGGATTTGACTTCCGGGAAAGCTAGTGGAACTTATATTATGTTACTGTCTTTATACTCAACGAATCTTTGCTTCAACCGACATGGATCATAATTTTGATTGTTGGAGCAAGGTTTTATGATGGATTTTTGTTTAATTCATCTAGATTAGTTTGTTGATTGAGGAGGATGTTGAAATGCAGGACTATGGCCATCGCGTTAGACTGGCAACTCACTCAAATTTCAAAGAGTTTGTCTTGACTGCTGGGTTGGAGTTCTATCCTTTAGGGGGTGATCCAAAAGTTCTTGCCGAATGTATGTTCCTATTGGCCCTGTTGCTTGGAAAGTGGAAACCTATCTGATGCTTTGTTTGGATTTGATTATGATTATTTCTCCCTTTATAAGAATTTGCCAGTGTCTTAACAATTGATGAGCATTGGTTGTACTTGGCATGCATGTAGCACTTAGTGCAATAAATTGTTGTCTCAAACTTCGAACTATAATTTCGGGGCACATGAGGATGAGGCATGCATTAGACATATCATGTTTATATATATTCAACATTGTACCAATAAAAGAATATTTTAGGCTTTATCAATGTTGAACATAGTATAAATGCTATGTCTTGCTGTTGATTCAGCTTTTGTGTTTCTTGTTCTGAATTTGTTGCAAATTTGAACTCATCCTATTTCCCAACATCAGTTCCCTTAGTCTTCAAGTTTCCTACTTTAAAATTTTAATTCTTTAAAGTTGTTTTTCCATTACTTTTTTAATTCTACTCCCTCGCGTGTTCAGCAATTTCTTGTTTGTACGACTTGATGCATGGGGGTCTTGATACATTCCTTTGTTTTGCATGTGTGCCCTGCTTCAATTGACCTCCTTTTTTGTGTAGAGGACTTATAAACGAGCATTGTTAAATGTCAGATACATAAGTGAATGCAGTTCGTGGAATGAGTTTATTCAACTTTCGTGTGCTTATCTGTAACAAGATTCCATGAAGTTACCAGATGTAGGTCTCACTATTAACTCACAGATTTTTTCTTTTTCTCTACAGACATGGTTAAAAACAAAGGATTCTTGCCATCAGGACCTTCGGAGATACCCATTCAACGAAATCAAATAAAGGAAATAGTATACTCTCTACTTCCAGCATGCAATGACCCTGACCTTGATTCGGGGATTCATTTCAAAGCAGATGCTATCATAGCGAATCCCCCAGCATATGGTTAGATTAAGTTCATTATTTATTCTAGTACAATCCTTATCCTTTTTGTACTTTATTTATTGATTTCATTCATATTCTTGTCTTATCGTAATTTATTTCTCTAGCAATTTTTGAAACTATATTATATAGACGTGGAAGCATGCATTTGTTTGATGGGTTTTCTTGATCTTCTGATTTTTATAGTATTGGTTTTCTTGATCTTCTGATTTTTATAGTATTGAGTTTTGACTTTGGAAAGTGCTGAAGGAACTCTACCTGCATACTGTTTAATAGGTTTTTGGTAGGAGAATATGTAGTTTGCACAAAATCTTTGGGTTTGTTTGGGTAATTCAGCTCTCTAGTTCCTCAAAGTTCATTGGGTGTGCTAGCAAATATCATTGGAAGCTACTGTCAGTTGTCGGTGAACATGGGTTCAGATTGTGGCAGATCAATTGCTATCTGGATACCTTTCCATTTGTACTCAAGGGTATAAACCTTGATCTTGTATGATTTTTGAAAGATAAAATACAGTATATTACTATCACGTCCCATCAACACAGAGAACAGACCAGAGTGATCCTTATTAGTAGTGTCACAAATAAGGAAATCTGTTGTACAAGGAATAGTCATGCAATATCAATTCCATTTACCCTCGAATAAAAGTTATATAGCTAAATGGATACATTCATTTAAGGTACCCGAGTTCAAGCTGGGGTGGTATACTTGTTAAAAAGGGTCTGTTGGCTAAAAAGAAAAAAAGGGCGGTATACTAGTCAGATTTATTCATTCTGGTTGTAATGAATCAAAACTATTTAATTTTGTCAAAATGGCTACATCTGTGTTATTTCAATATTACTGTTAATGTGTTTGTTTGAGAAAATAACCCGTGTAAGTGGATATAATGGGCACATAGCATGATTTATCCAGTGGAACTGGAAGGGTTTTTAATTTGTTGTATAGTCAGCAGAACTGTTGGTTTCATGTGCGAAATAAGCTTCTCGAATATCTGGGGGCAGCTGCTATGGCTGATTAAAGCTGATTGAGTTACTGATACACTTCACTCAGAATTATCTGCTCTTAGAGGCACATTTTTTAAAACATTCCTGTGGGAGGTCATGTGGACAAGGTCCTTTTTGGAAATGGGTGAGGTGCTTCTGATGCTTCCATATAAAGCCTAATACCTTGTACGTAGAGTCTACACATCTCATGAAGACACTAGAGTGTGCTAAAGGGGGCCAAAAAATCATGTATTCGCAGCATTGGAAAAAGCCTATTTGGTACAAGTATGATGTCTGGTAAAAAGGAGAATGCTTTGTTTAGAAACCATGTATTTGCAGAAAAGAAAAATACAAAAAACAAAATACTACAGTGTAATTGATGTGTAATGAACAAAATCCGCCTTCGCATGTCTTCAAAATTTATTTGTTCCCGAGCTTACATTGCATGTGAATGGCTATTATACAGTTACTAACTGGGTAAACACTTTCCCAGGGCATACACATGTGGCAGAGGCATTGAAAGTACCTATTCATATATTCTTCACGATGCCGTGGACGTAAGTCTTGTTTGGCTAATGGTGTTTTTCCTAGATATATAGATCAATGTCCATAATGTGGTTTCATCTTACAATTCCTTCTTTCTACTTATGTTGCATTAATTACTTGTCCCAACATATATTAGATCAAGATTCCTATATTATCTTGCTAAAATAACATTTTCATCTCTTCCTACCAGTCCGACTAGTGAATTTCCTCATCCTTTGTCCCGTGTTAAGCAACCAGCTGGCTATAGAGTGAGCAAATTGATTTCTTTCAGCTTTACTGTTATCTTTTGTTTTCTTATTATTGCAATTTTCATCTTTCTGGTAAATTTCTGTCAGTGACAGATATTTTCCCTAATTCACTTTGTTGTCTGAATGATGTAGCTGTCCTATCAAATTGTTGATTCTTTGATTTGGCTTGGAATACGAGACATGGTAAATGATGTTAGGAAGAAAAAGTTGAAGTTACGACCAGTCACATATTTAAGTGGTTCACAAGGTTCTGAGTTTGACGTCCCACATGGATATATCTGGAGTCCTCATCTTGTTCCTAAACCAAAAGGTGCTAAATTTAGCTGATGCCAGGATAGTCTTTTGTTAGACATCTTAACCATCAAGATCTAGTCCTTATATTATGTGAAGCAACTATTTGTGATTGCAAATTAATATACGCTCGAGTCTTTTTACAGAAATCTAAGAATGCTAACAAAACGACTTTAGCTGTTGAAGAAAACATGATTATGGTGATAAACAACACTAAAACAAGGACAACACTAGACTTTGGTGTCACATACAAATTTTCCAAAAGAAGAAACGATTATGTGCCAGTAGGACTAATTCTTAAACAAGAACATGGTACGAATAATGTCCAATGCACTTATATTTTGAGAGAAAACATTATTTGTGTGCAAACAACACTAAAACAGAAAGAAAACATGATTCTGTTGTGAAGTTGACCAATTTTGATAGAGGTCATAATTCTGTTTTCAACCGGTTTAAACTTAAGAAAAATACGATTCTGGTGCGAAACTCACTAATTATTAGAGATTACTTGATTTTGTTCTTCTATAGTACTTGCCAAAAGGAAACATGATTATTGTGTAATGCACTAATTCAAAATGAAAACCTGATTTACAATTGCACATGCAATAACTCTGAAAGTAAACATGATTCTTGTATCAACTACACTAGTTCTTGAAGAAAAACTAATAAAGAAAATCAGATATTTTCTTCAAAAAAATAGATCTAATAGAAAACATTATTCCGGTGTCAACGGCACCAAATCTAAAAGAAAATAAGCTTGTTGTGCCCAATACACCAATTGCAAAGAGGAACAACATTCAGGTGTCAAGGATAAGAATTCCTGGATAAACATGATTCTTATGTCAGATGAACTAATTATAGGAGAAAACATGACCACGAGGTCAAATGAAATATATCTTCAAAGAAAAACAAGACTCGTGAATCTAATGCTTAAACTTGAGAGAAAAGATGAATTGTGTTTCACTTGCACTCAATTCTTGCCTAAGACATTATTCTAATGTGACAGTGCACTTATTTGGTGAGAAAACATGATTGCCGCATGGTTATGTATACCTGCCTCCGTCTTTTTCCTTATTTTTATTTTCTGAGGTTTTTTTTTTTTTTTTTTTTTGGGGGGGGGGGGGGGGGG